TTTTTCTTGCCTGATAGGAGCAAAAGCGTCTAAAACGCAAAACACGACCAAAAACTACACTTATTGCAAAAGACTGTGCGCCGCCACAATCTTTCGGATGACTTGTATATCAATAATTATTTATCTTGGTAAAGGATGACAATTTGATGATATAGCCGCTGCGATCATTTGGGCTCCAGAGCAAGCACCATTGCATTTATCAGACAGCGCCGAATAAAAAATTGCGCCTATATTCCCCTGTTATATCCGCATTCTCTCGATTTCAGAATTGATTGCGCTGAAAAGGTTACTTGCTAAATGCTTAGCCTTTTTAAATGAATGGGCCGATTGTCAAAGAAGGAAAAAAGTCATGTTAAATATAGCAATAATACCTCCAGGTTATATAATCATTTCATATTTGAGCGACATCTGATTGCCTGCGCTAACGAGGTGACTAAATTGCGGCATACAGTGCTGACTTCATCAATTTAGAAAATATGTCATAAAACACAAAGAGTGACTCAGCCTATCGCTTTACAATAGCCCTGTCTCTCAGCCTCAGGCTGTTATAAGTTACTATAATGTATCTATTTACCATTCTTTATAAAGTTGTCGAAGGATCTTATTTAACCCTACGTTCATAAAAGTTTAATATATGAAGAATTATTTTGCCGTGAATACACTATGCCTATCTCGACTTGTTGCTCACAAATGCTTATTTCCTACAAATTTATTTGTATATGCTGTATATCCTGATGCTTTGGCAATGCCGTCTTGCCCTACGGGGATTTATTATACAAACAAATAAAAGGTCTTCTCTTCCTCTTTCTATGAAATAAACCACTTAGTTACACTTAGATTATGTTAAGGAACCTACCACATGAAAATAAATTATGCCACTATTATTAACATATGACCAAATTATTCATATGTTCAACGTACGATTATACAGATCTGATGAATAAATTTCCACTTTCCACCAAATTTCCTGCATCCCAAATTGCTGCATCCCCGATTTTTTATCTGACACTAGCACTTCAGCGTATATAGATAACATTGACAACCAGTTAAACCGACAAACAGTATCTCTTCAAATCGATGACATAACGCCCAGCTTAAAAGCACATATACATGCATTATGATAATAACGTTCAAATGATAAGAGATTATTAATTTGATAATTGTTCATGTGAAGAAGCTGCACTTGCTTTAATAAATAAGTGTAATATATAAAATAAGATATAAAGAAAGTCAAAATTTTATTTTTAATGACAGTATTTTTTAAATTTTTGATCTTCTTTATCTTGCGTCTGACACTGTGCTACTATGTTATTGCACGATTTTACATCGTTTAACCAACTTATAGATACACGGAGCGAGTTTTTATTTATTTATTGCTTCTTTTTTTCTTTTTTGAGAAATCGTGAGTTAAATTTCTGATAATATAAAACAATGCTATGACAATGATTACCGAATTTAACAAGTAGCCGCTTTGCTTTCTTTTCAAACTATTTGCCTCAACTAAGCTATGGATAATATAAAGATTTGTACTTAATGATAAAAGGGGAGATAATTCAAAAAATGAGGCTTAAACAGAGTTATGGTTCTTTTGCACTGCACCTGTACTCAATGAGATCTATCTACCTACTATGTTTCATCTTGATATCTCTAATAGTTTAAGAGTTATGTTCCAGTCAAAGTTCAAAGTGTTAAAATTAACAAAGGCAATAACTCCAAAATTAGGACAAAAAGAGTTATTGTTCTTATGCACTGCACATCTACCCATTGAGATCTATTCACCTACAAAGTTTCATGTTGATATCTCTTATATTTTAGAGTTATGCCCCGGACAAGATTTTTCTATAAGGGGAGATAATTCAAAAACCGGGCAAAATAGAGTTATGGTTCTTTGACACTGCACTCCCCCTCAATGCCCTATACCACTGTATGAAGTTTCAACAAATTATCTCCATGAGTTTTCAAATTATGCTCCGGACAAGACAACAGACGGACAGATGGACAAGGCGCCAACTATGTGCTCCCCCGAAATTTTTCGGGGAGCATAAAAATCATCTTAAATTACTTAAGTCTTTATGATTACTTTCCTGCAATGAATATAAATCTTTGTTCACTAAAAACAGGCAGTTTGCATGATCATAAAATGCTGATTAACTTAAAAATTTGACCACTTTTAAAAGTTGTCTCATTTATAGCTTTAGACTATAAATACACATTATAAGTTACAAGCTACAGTAGGCCGTAATAATAAAAACTTTTTGATAAAAAAAAAAAATATTTTGAGCCACTTGGTTAATTGGACATTCAAAGTTCAGTAGATTTTCACATAGTAACAGTCAATGTCCCAATCAAACTTCATTTGAATGACTGACATGTCAACATTCACGGACCTGAGTGTGTAAAGAAATGCGTGGTAGTATGGCAAAATGAACTCTCTGTTTAAAAAGTACTTTTACAGGTGATACACTTACGAAATTTCTGTGTTGATTCAATGTTGTCTTTCAATCTGTAATGACAATCGCAGGATTTATCATCCTGCAGGTGCACTGCAGAAACACGTTAATAATATATAGATAAGTGAGTATAAAATACTGAATGCGTCGAATTTTAAACTCAATGATGTTATTAAAAATATAACATCAAACATGTGGAAGTAAAACAATCCTGTGTAGTTGTTGTGTTCGTATCGTTTTTTCTACATGTAAAGTACTCAAGTCATTCAGATTAGAACCACTTTCCATATAGGACAGTTGTACTTAATGGTTTCATTTTCAGGTCATTTGTGCAAATTAAAAGTCAGCAATTTTATAAAATTTAAAATTAAAGAGCATTAATTTTAGTCTTAATATGTTAGAAAAAATGTCACTCACTGTAGAGCTTTCATCAATAGAGACAATTTCGATGTATTGTCAATATTTTTCTGTCGGACAATAATCGGTACACATTTCAAGAAATCAATAGTTTTTACTAATTAATTAAATTTCTACAAATAATGAAAATTACAATACCAAAAACTCACATGTAAAATAATCATGCATTGCGCATTAATAAAAAAGACACTGAACATAACATGTATGTTACTGAAACCATTAAAACAGGTATGAAAGTGAACGACAGACAAATTATTATTGGTAATTATCAATATATTGTTGATTATTTGTCATCCTATATCGATACATCATTGATATACTTCGCACTGAATCAATGACAGCTCTAACTCATTCATTTCACATATTCATGGGTGAAAGTTGGAAATTTTTAAAATCCTGAAATTCCTGAATTTAGCAGTTTTTCTATAGTTTTACATAGAAAATAGAAGGCTTTCAGGAGACTGAAAATCCTGAACTTCAGGAATAATCCTGAAAACTTTCACCCATGCATATTGATCAATTACAAAAGTAGCACAAGCGTTTCTTCCAACAAGAACACAAATTTTTTCACAGGTGATTGATCAATTCTCAATTCATGCACTTGGATTGTCTAACAATATTCTATATCTCTACATATGGGCAGGTACCAAAACTATTTTAAACAATTGGGATTCAAGTTTTTTGGCAATCATATGTAATTGTCAGAGATTTCATTGATCAGTAATATATTGACCTAACACTGAAAAATTAAGTTGTGTTACAGAAAAACGCTGATTTTAAATATTGTTTCATCATGAGAAAATAAGTTAAAGTGTGTCAAAGATGCAAGACACACACCGGCAACGCTGAAAATGTACATCAGAGGAGCACGCAGAACAGCATTAAAAGGATGAAAAGAATAGACCCGAGACAAAATTTAATGAAAAATGGAAGCAGGACCATGTGCCGATTTTTACGGGGAAAAAATTAAAACCAAAACGTGTCTTAGAAATACAAAGACAAGTTTTCCTTTGAATCTAATTAATACACCGATAAACATTTCCCAACTAGCAGTTGACAGGCTATTCTTATCAGTAGGTTTTCAAGTAAAGATAACCGGTTGCATATCTCACTGTATAAATCTTATGTAAAATGGTCTGACATATGGTAGGTTTAACAGTTAATTTAAATACTTTGGTGTCAAAAGATGTGTTAAATTATATACTGTGACAAAGCTAAGATCCCAAGCTTTCCATTGATGTTTACAATCATTTTTAAAATCAGACATTTAATCATAACAAACTAGCGGTTTAAAAACGGCTAAATTTGTATTGTTTTAGCGTAAGAGATATCGATTTTACTCGAAGGTAAGGGAAACAACTCGTATTTTTTCACTTGATATACCTCGGTTTTTTACGTCTTTCATATGAAAAGTGTTTATGGGTGTATTTCATTCAATCTGACAGATTTCATTTTGGTCTGACAGATTTTCACGGTTTGTCAGACCGAATGTCTGACACTTTTTTTAAACTTTTGGGAAGTCTGAACACATTATCATGTAAACACTGCTTGTGGTTGTTCCGTTGAACTTTGAGAAAGGCACTGCTTCAGTGCCTGTAAAAAATTTATCTTGAGCTGTTGAGTCTGAGGCTGAGGTCTCTGATAATTCTAATTAGTTGGACAATAATATTTCACATATTTCCTTTTTTCAAAAGTATTTGTTAACAGGGGTATGAGCACTGTATATAATGAGACAACTGCAATTAGTAGCAAAAACATCTAATTTGTGCTGGTTAAGATTTACCCCACCCACCCAAACACTGTGTTTACTTTTCAGTATCTTGTGTTTAATGGCCGAATTTGAGAATTAATCACAGAATATGTACGCAGTAACATAAATAACGGTGCTATATAACATAATTACCTCTATTTTTTGCAACATTGGATGCAATTGGCCCCAAGAGCCTGCAAAATCTTGATGCCATTGCCCTTGATTTTAAGTTAAGGACGGCTCTGTAAATTAACAAAAATTAGCTGGAAAATAAGGAGTAGTTTTGTTTTATCTTCTTGACATATGATTTTCTTTAATTGATTTAAATTAAATTAATACTATCATTTGGTAATTTATTAAAGACTGAAGAAATATTGAATAAATAATTGAAACAATCAACAGCTTATCCCTGTGTAAGGGAAGCAACTCTAACATCACAAAAAATAAATAATCTTACATCACGTTTCAAAGCGATTCATCTTAAATTTACAGTTTTTTAACGGTAAAATTACTAAATATTTATAAGTTTGAAATGCTTGCTTTGTTATGAAAAATGAAATATGTATTTTATAATTTTATAAAATCGAATTTGCTCAGTTATGCCGGTCTTCTGTACCAGTATTTAACTGCATCCAGTACTCGGATACAGCACAGGTGCTAGTTGCATTGATTTGACCTAAAATGTGTTTGGCCTTGTTATTTATACAATAAAATATTAATATATTAAAAAAAAAAAATTAAAAAAAAATTTTTTTTTCACTGTTATATTATTATTGACAAGGTATGCAACATTCAGGTACGAAAATTATGGGTACGCCGGTTATCTGTGTTAAAATTTTTCACCGGGCGGTAATATCGTCGGATTTTTGCATGGAATCAATGCACAATATATTTTTCTATTACAATTTACTATTTACAGATCCCCAATTAACCGCTAGTTAATGTTATAAAGCCCGAAAGTAAGAAATCATCCAGGTCCGAAAGATGAGACCGTCATGACATGTACATTGTAAGCTGGTATTTACGCTTGAAATACATCAACAAAGAGATCAAACGGGTCGGACACACATGCAAACAACTGGATTTTACATACTTTTAAATGGTTTTATCCTCCACGAGTCGAACTTAGTCCTATGAGTCTGTATTTAAAGAAATATCCTACATGTAGACGATATTTTTAGTAGGTAATTCCTACCGGAAGTATTCTCCGGTTTCCGTTTCACATACATTGACAAAGAGCGGAACAGGGAACCAAGCACGTGTTGCGGGAGAACACTTCCGATTTAGGAATTACCTTAACTTGTAGAATTTTTCTTAAAATACGGGCACATAGGACTTAGTGCCACTCGTGGAGGATAAAACCATTTAAAAGTATGTAAAATCCAGTTGTTTGCATGTGTGTTCGACCCGTTTGATCTCTTTGTTGATGTATTTCAAGCGTAAATACCAGCTTACAATGTACATGTCATGACGGTCTCATCTTTCGGACCTGGGTGATTTCTTACTTTCGGGCTGTAATAGAAAAATATATTGTGCATTGATTCCATGCAAAAATCCGACGATATTACCGCCCGGTGAAAAATTTTAACACAGATAAACGGCGTACCCATAATTTTCGTACCTGAATGTTGCATACCTTGTCAATAATAATATAACAGTGAAAAAAAAAATTTTTTTAAATTTTTTTTTTTTTAATATATTGATATTTTATTGTATAAATAACAAGGTCAAACACATTTTAGGTCAAATCAATGCAACTAGCACCTGTGGGATACAGAGGTTTAAGATTCTGTATAAAAGTAGTTAATTAGTTATCTCGTTAATTCTTTTTTTACTTAAACTGGAGTCATACAATGCTTCATGGTTGGTGAAAGGAGCACTTGTTAATGAGGTGTGAATGTAAATCATAAACAGAGAAAGGTGTGAACAGAATTGTTCTGTTTATTTTACATAGTGGTTGGAGAGATTACTCAGACACTAAATCACATATTTTTTGCAATATCTTAATTATCTTCCTGTATATTTTAAATATTGAACCACCTAAACAAAGTTCAGTTCAAAGACTTTACATTATACTACAAAAAATATGTATGGAAATGGAATCTGGTACTTCTTTAAGGTCCTGAAAGAGGTTACAAACATGGTCTTTTTACCCCACAACAGTAGATAAAGTCACGGATTTATATTACAGGGATCGGACACTCCCAGTTAACCCTATATAAATGCTTAAATATCTTGTCGTGCACTCGATAAAGGTACATCGATCGATAATTTATCGGCGCCAAGTGAAAATGCCCGTTCGCAACGGATACCTACTTTATAAAATACCATATAGCTTTTCCATTTATTATCCGATTTTTGAAATTTAAAGTTTATTTTCAAGGAAAATGCTTGCAAATAATTCAAATATTTAATTTATTTTTTAAAGAAACAGATTATCTGTCCGCAACGACGATTAAGAAATTAACTTGACGAAATCTGCGGTAAATTTTCATTTTTTATATAAAAAGCAGATATTTGAAATTTATTATTTATACGGTAACATAATAAATTCAATTTCAAAATTAATGAAAAAAAGATGCCGATGGAAGTTATTCACAGTTGATCAAAGATGCAATATTTAAGATTTATTTGGTTATGTAGTCAAATTAATTGACGCACAATTGTTTTACGGGTAATGTATTGCGGGCTTTACAATTCACTCAACACGTGAAGTAAATTTATTCATTTTTTTAAATACAAGATATTGCTGATATTGTCAATACATTTATTGCCATTTTCATAGGATAATTAAATTTTCTTCATCATTTATATCATTATTATTCTTTTTTTGTAAATCTGTTTTCAAATGTCGGTGCAGTGAAGTAGACAATTATCGTAACAGTAAAGTACTCTCGTGTGGCTTTCTCGATTCCGGCCTTTTTAAAATTTATGTCACTCGTATATTTTAATTATTTCACTCGTATATTTTAATTATTCTTCTTATTTGAATGCCTGTAGAAAGATATTTCTGATATTTTTTAATGTAACGCTAAAAAACAATAAAAATCTTTACAGTTTGAGTCGGTATTATGCGAAATAAAAGTAACTGTTGATTATTTTTTACACATCGCTTAAATTTCTTTGAAGTTTAATTACTTTTGAAGGGGTTAATTACCAAGTAACAAGTCATAATTAAAAAAAACTTTATTTTCAAACTTTCATTATCAGGTTACATGTGATAATTTCAACACTCAATCTTCAAAAACAAAATTGAATTTGAATGTATATTTTGTATGTGCGCGGTCTTTAACTACAGTCCATGGCATGTGTGGTAAGAAAATGATTCTGAATAGGATATATATAAATACAATGTAAATCTATTTTCTTTATTAACATTTATAAATGAAATTGAAAATAAACAACTTAATTTGTAAAGTCCTTTCTTTGAAAAATAATGAAAATAAACATGTGAAGAATAAATCATTTGACGTGAATTGTGAAGGATAACTATGAAAAAAAACTGTTTAAAAAAAATATTATAAAACAGCTGTTCTGTATGCCAATAAAAGTTTCTTCCTTGCCAATGTAATGAATTCATCTATATATGAACGAATGTCTAGAATGATCTGAAAATATATTTAATACACTAATTAGTAGAATATATACTATATTTATACTGATGTACAGGTAGATCAAATAAAAAATGTACAAATCATTTGGAAATAATTCACAGAAATAAAGACACATTTCAAACATGAATTTTTTTAAAAGTATTTTAGCAATCAAGAAACATTTTTTTGCAATACCACAATTAAACCATGTAAAAAATAATTATCTTAATCTGAATCGCGGTAATAATTTATGTTTGACGTAAAAGGGCGTCAAGGTGTAGAGAGAATGCCTAAACAATAAGCTAATATTTTTTAAATTAGGTACTTTTTAACTAAGCATCGCAGCGTTCTATCGGCGTATTTTCATATATTATTACTTTAGCTGCACAAAATAATACTGTATCAATACATTCATATGTGTATAATTTTTCACAAAGCTGCAATAACACCACATACTCTTGTGAAAATCTGTCATATTTCGCACTCCGAGCGTTCCGCCATCTCATTCTGTCCACCTTTCGATTCCGCGCATGCGCGCGACGGGACTTTAAGCTAAACGAAAGTGTCCGATCCTTGTAATATAAATCCGTGAAAAAGTTGACACTTAATTTTTTAAGTAAAAAATGACTGGAAAATCTGCATCAATAATTTATTTTTACATTTTATATGTTTTATCTAGTTTTTGTTAATATTTAAATAATTTTTCAAAAATCTTTCCCAAGCCAACGGCCTGTGGTCAATACAATTCTAACCACCTTATTGTAATTTAGTAAAAAGCACGTTTTGAAGCAGTTCTGCCTATGAAAAGTTTAGGTTATTTGAAAAACATTAAAAATTTTACCAAATTATAAAAAAATCATCCCATTCTGTCCTGCTCCTATACTTTTAGGTGACCATGTGCTTGTTTGTTGAAAAACAAAGCTATAACAATTATATTAATCAAGTGTCGGGGTTATCTATGCATCGGAGTTATCTCTCCGACCAGTATAGCTAAAGGTGATAATCAAAAATTGTATGCTTTCCATTAATTACAGGTAAACTTGTATTTAAAGACTGGTCAAAGGAAACACCAAAAATGAATAAATAACCAATACTGATACTAATTTACAAAATGGTTTTTTGATCCAAATGATCTGTTCTGTGTTTTGTATTTCCAAATAAATTTTAGCTGTTGCTGGTTGCATTGAACAAAAGCAACTTAACACGTTACAGATGTAGTGGGAAAATGATCTGAGATGTTTCAAAGAAGTTCCTACTAATAATATTTAAAATAGTAAACTTCTAATTGTGTTTAAAGAGTTTTTACCAGCAGAGTTTTTACAGAAAGTTATATATTAAAGTTTTCAAGTTGTTTTAATTTTTTTTACATTCAAGTACCATGAGGATGTCTTATATGATTTATATGATACATCTGTTACCTGATTTTTCTAATATATTGTCTCTAACTTGTCAACTGCTACAATTGTCTTTTTTGTTTGAAGATGTCAAAATCACATCTCCATGTCGATGATGATGGCCAGTCATCAGAAAAACCAGCTTTTCTTTCGTTTCTCACGGGGAAGTGGATGGATATTCCTGAAGCTAATCAGGTTAGACCCACAGGATTGTCTCGTTATGTAATTGGCATTGTTTCAGTTTGTGTAATTTTATCAGATATATAATTGAGGTTGTTTATAAAGTAAGATTGTAGTTTTTGAAATTCTGTTGAGTCTACTTCATGCAACTACATGTACATGTAACCAGTATTGGTGAAATGGTGTAATATGATTGTGCATCATCAGCATGTTCATGACCCATTGGCCATTGCTGTTCATAACTGTGCATCATCAGCATGTTCATGACCCATTGGCCATTGCTGTTCATAACTGTGCATCATCAGCATGTTCATGACCCATTGGCCATTGCGATTCATAACTGTGCATCATCAGCATGTTCATGACCCATTGGCCATTGCTATTCATAACTTTTTTTTTTCCTGAAAGTACATACCAGTAATCTTACTATGAAAATTATCATTTCTATGCCACTTCTTTGATTTGCTCTTTTTCAACAATCATGCTGTCTGTAGACTGACAATATACATGTAGTGAAATGTTGGGACACATTTCTAGTTTGACTGATGTATATGTATTAAACTTCAAACATGCATTTATATAAGAACATTTAAAATGAGCTGAGTAAAAATAGTGCTATGTACTATAGAAATAGTACTTTAGTAAGTATTCAATAGCACTGAGGAGTACTTGTGAATTTGGCTGAGCATATAATAGTACTGAAGTAATAATAATTTAGTTACCGGGTAATATAACTACATGTACTTGGTTAGTATCTCATTAAAGCTCATTCATGTTAAAAATAGAAGTATTGTAGAAGACTTAGGAATTCATGATAAAGTTATCAGAAGCTATGTGAAAGAAATATGGTCATGTTAAATGAATTAATCGTTTAATATGTTGCATGTTTGGCATCTGACTTCTGAGTTTTTTTACATTTTATTGTACAGTAAAGAAATGTCACTATGTAAGGCCTATAGAAAATATTGTTTGCTTCTCCACCTGCTACCTACCTACAATTATCACAGTTGAGTTACCCCAAAAACATTATTATCTAGCAAAAAAAATAATTTTTTTACTAAACATTGATTGTCAATGAGAATCACATCTTTATATCTGTGTAAATACACTAACTGGGATATATGTTGAATAAAAGTAAAAATATGGTTTGGTCTTTAAACAATAAACAGATGCTAAACATTCACAACTTGTTTTGAACTCCAAATAATATAATAGAAAAAAATATTTTTGATATTAGAAAAAAATATTTTATCAACGTAACTACCCAACCCAAACTGATATGGGAAGAGGGAGGGAAAACAAAGATAAGTCTTAACAGTTTTAGTTTACTGTGGTGCGATTCTAAGCTTTGTCTTTTAATAAACAGATGTTATGTTTGCTCGCAGTTCTTTAATTGCTTTTATTTACTTACATTGTTAAAATGATTAGAATCAAAATGTCACTGCACTCTGTGACTCAATTATGGTTCTTTCAATTTTTAGTTTGGAAAATGTAGACCTGTGCAAGAGTTCCAAAAAGAAACCAGAATAGGCGAGGGTACATATGGAGTTGTTTGTAAGTTAATGATAATGTTAAAGCTATTTAGACCAAAAAGTTATTTATTGTGTTAATAATAACATTTGATCTTTGATTAAGATCGTTGACTTCAAAGCTTTTGCCCCTCACAGATCTGGGTTTGAATCCCCCCTGGGGCTTTGATTCTTTCAGGTAGCATACGGAACATTGGTGATTGAGGTCTTCAGGTCTTCCTCCACCAGTAAAGCTAGAAAGTTGCCATATGACCTCTACTGTGTTTATAAATTTGCAAAGGATGTTTATAGAGACACTATTAAAGTTATGATTGTTTTATGACAGTTGTCTTTACAAACACAGAGTTTTATAAAATCATATTTCTAGAGACAGCCATTTAATTTTTCATACTTTGGTTCTTTTTTTTTTTAGATAAAGCTAAGGATACAAGAAATGGTACAACTGTTGCTTTGAAAAGAGTAAAACTACATCACGAAAAAAGTGGTAAGAAATATTTAATAGTAAAAAAGTAGCAGGATATTTTCCCTTTAATAACAAAGACAATATCAGTACTGTCATATGACCAGACAGTCATTTAAGCTTTAACTTATCCATTCTGAAGTCCTTCCAGTGAATATTGAACTTGTTAAATGGAAAACAACAACAGGATTGTGTAGTTAACAGATACATATATCAAGGGCACCTAATATCTATATCTTAGAATAATATTGTCTATCCATTCTACTTTACACCATTTTCCAGATCCTTTAGTCAAGTCTGCTATTATAATGAGATTTAAAGAGTACAAAATAAAATTATATAGCACATTTTATGATCACTTTTCTCCCTTTTTCGTGCCTTGTTTGACCACTGAATATAATTTTCAGAGGTCTGTAAAAAATGATAACAAATAAACATACTTTCTTTTGGTATTCTGTGAGAAAAAAGTGATCAATTAGGATTTAGTGTGGAGCTTAAAACTGATGATAAAATTATGAAGAAGATTGTATGATATTTGTGTGGTACCATATATTGCTGGATGTCTCCTTAAAGTTATGCTAAACATTCTACAGGAATACCTGTCAATTTATATGACTATCAATCATTTTACAGGTATACCAACCAACTTGTGGGTATACCATTCATTAAACAGTTATACCAATCAACCTAATATACCATTTGACTTTAAAAGTATATCAATCACCATATATGTATACCAATCATTTTCACAGGTATACTAATCATTTTCACAGGTATACCAATCAGTTCTTTATTAGAGAGAAACATTTATCTAGTTTACCAGTTAACCGAAATGTATACCAATCAACATACAGGTATACCAATTATTTGAAACAGGTATACCAAAAAGTTCATTTAGAAAGATCAAAATTTACTTAGTGTACCAGTTAAGTGAATGGTATACCAATCAACACAGGTATACCAATCATTTTCACAGGTATACCAATTATATTGTACAGGTATACCAATTATTGGTACATGTATACCAATCATTTTTACAGGTTATCAATTATTGGTACATATATACCAGTCATTTTTACAAGGTATACCAATTATTTTGTACAGGTATACCAATTATTTTGTACAGGTATACCAATTATTTTGTACAGGTATACCAATTATTTTGTACAGGTATACCAATCATTTTCACAGGTATAACAATTACTTTATACAGGTATACCGATCAGTTCATTAAGAGAGATCAACATTTTGCTCAATCTGCGGCATGACAATGTTGTACAGTTGAAGGAGATAGTGGTGGGTAAAAGTCTTGACAGAATATTTCTCGTGATGGAATATTGTGAACAGGACCTGGCTTCATTAATTGATAATATGCCGTCTCCGTTCTCAGAGGCACAGGTACGTACTGGCTCAAAACATTTAACCTTACCAGGCTAAATGACTTAAATGGACTTGTCCATCTTTTCATCCGGACATAAACATACATTGTTTCTAGGCAAATATTCATTATTGCAAAATAGATACTGACTTAATAGTAAGCAGTGCTGAGTATGATCAGACAACACAGATGCGTCAGCTGTTCTTGGTCATCGCTGGTAAGGGATGTATCATTTACCCCCAGCAGCCAAAAGGCGAAATATCTTGTATAGTTTATATCTTAGTGCAAATATTATTTATGCTTGATTGAAAAAAATGAAAACACAGTGTTTCTTACCTGAACTGGTGATGTGTCTGTTTTGTAGCTAAATCAGTGCTGTAGTATTGATGTTATTAATTATATGAGGAACCGTGATTGTGACCACAGTACAGCTTAAACCTAATATCCTTACATTGACAGGCAGACTTTTTAACCAATATTTAGGAAATAATATCCTATCCAGTGTCTATTCTAGGAGGGGGGATGTGGGGTTTGACTCATAATTTTGAGAACTCACCCTTATTTTTTCAGAGGCAGGGGGAAGTTTTTACACAGACAAAGATCAACAAATGTAATAAATGCACATTTTTCGATAAAAATTCCCTCATTTTTCAAATTCTAGAATAGACACTGACTTTCATTGCCCTTTCTAAAATTTGAATGCTTAAACTGTTGTCTGATGATTCATTTTGTTTGTTAAAAAAAAACTATATGAAAATGGATATTATTTTTTAATTAAAAAACAATAAAGTGAATAAAATATTACAAATTAAAAAACTGTTTAATTTCAGGTTAAGTGCATAATGCAGCAGTTGTTTCGAGGTATCAGATTTTTACATGAAAACTTCATAATTCATAGGTATGAATTAATAAATCCTTTCAATAATTTTCATATTTACATACCCTTGTACAATGTAATATGTGATGGAGCATATCCCCTTGTTCATTTTTTTTATAACATTGAATTATTATTAAGAAACAAATAATCAACGATTTTATCGTTTTATAAAATGACTGTTTGCAGTTTGAATGTGAGGAATTATATCACGAGGGCATAGCCCAAGTAAAATAATGATGCAAATTGGAACAACATGTGGTTAGGTCAGATGTCTACATATAGAATTTAACAGTGATTTTATTGCATAATAACACACACTTTTGGTCCTTCTGTGTTTGATAGGTGATCATTAGAATACCGTATAAATGGTTTTTTCTGCGGTGACTTTATTTCTGCGTATTCTGCGGTCATTATTAGCACCGCAGAAATAAAAACCGCAGAAAATTGCTCCGTGTTTTTAACCTGTTACGACATGTGTTCTACATTATGACCTGTTTCGTCTGAAGTAATAATGACTAATGGTTTATAAAGGTTAGCAGGTCATCAAGTTGTATAAACTTGCCGTCAGCTAAATATGTAATCGATGTTTGTAAGGATCGACATACTTATTATTAATTATGCAAATTTTTTTATGAAAAAGATATTTAAACATCATATAAAGTGTTTGCCGGTACTCTAAAAGGTTTGTTTACCACTAAAAACCATTTTAACCACTAAATAATTCAAACCATTTTAACCCTTATACTGCTAAATAATTGTCTTATATTCTAAATGTCATCTGATTTACGGTAAACTTCCATCAATTTTATCATATTAAAGATACTACCAGGGTATATTTTTCACACCATATTTCGCGCTGATCAAAAGATGCATACTTTTCTATTGTTGCGCGTTATATTTGTTTGTACGCAAACAATATAATTGTTTGTTATCACTTTACAATTTTGCCGTGCGGCGATAAACAAATGGGAATGCATGCAAATAAATAGGTACAGCAATGTGACTAAGACTTTGATAAGAAGAGTAGCAGAATTTAAATCATGTTTTGTCAAAAGAATGTGCCGCAGAAATAAAGTCCGCAGAAATAAAAACATGCCAAAATGTGCAAAAACTGCAGAATTTGGAGCCCCCAGAAAAAACCACTTATACGGTAATTTATATTGAACTTCTTTAATACATTTTGTTCTTATATGAGCCATATGATCATCCATTACTGAAAAGAAAATTACTTGCCTCTCACTGGCATCACTGCTTTGGGTTCAATTCCTGCTTGGCAGTTGAAATTATTTGGTGAAGCAATGCTTATGAATAATATTGACAAGTCAACATTTTCACTTTTGTTTGTATTTCAAGTCATATTCTTTTTTATTTTCAGAGATTTAAAGGTATCAAATTTACTCATGACAGATAAAGGCTCTTTAAAGATTGGTAAGTCAGTTTTTGTTTGTCCATCTTTAGGAGACAGGACAAAACAATACATTTTTTTTTTTAGGGAAAATTTCAAAACGTGTACTGACTGAATATTGATTTGGTGCCGATGATGATCAGAGAGCGTCAGAGATCGAAAATTCCACTTGTCCGCTCGTAATAACGAGTATAATTTAAGAGAACTTGATGCCGAAAAGTCCACTTGTCCGAGTGTAATTATGAGTAGAATTTAAGAGAACTTGATGCAGGTGGAGTAGAAGAATGTTCCCTGCAAATTGTATTTAGAAGGGACAAGTGACTTTGAAAATATTTTTTGATGCCTGGGCGTGGTTGTGCTGGGTTGCAGGGCGGTAATCTGCCAGCAGGCTAGGGTTACATCTTACAGGGAGACAGATGATTATCCTGGCTTAGTGCTTCAACTGCTGAATGTCTTTGCTAGTCTTGACCAACTTCAAGTACTGTATAAGTTTATTATCAGTTTATGTGTATTCAGAGTAGAAATTAGTTAGTTCATCAGCCATGTAAGATGTCATGGACGTGTTGGCTTGTCAAGCTTAATACTTGTGTAATGGCAAGACCAAACCACTGAGAACCTATGGAGAGTAACATTTTAGCATTTGAAAGGGCAAAATTTCAGCCTTTAAAAATTTTAGCCTTTGAAAGGGCAAAATTTTAGCCCTGGGAAGGCAAAATTTCAGTCTGTAAAGGGCAAAATTTTAGTCTTGTGAATGCAAAATTTCAGCAAGTGAATAGCAAGATTTCTTATAAATTTTACTGTTCGTTGAGATGAATTGCTATTTCCACTGAAAGAAATAGAAAATACTTCTGAGTTTGTAAGCCTAATTTGAATAAACCTTAATTATATTTTCATATTTTTTCCAGCTGATTTTGGTTTAGCAAGGAAGTATGAGTTACCAAATAAGGCAATGACTCCAATAGTTGTAACACTATGGTAAGATCTCTTAAATTATTAATTTTTATTTGGGAAAAATTGATTTAATTAGCTGACCTGAGCTTGCTCAGGGTGAGTTTTTAGGATGATTGAATGGCGGAGCATCTGTTGTCCGTTGTCTATCCTCATTAAGTTCATTAATACTTCAGTGGCCACATTTTCCCCTCAGTTGTCGCTAAACTTGGTCAGGATTTTTTCATAATAATTTGCTCAGACAAGTTTAAATATGGGTCATCTTAGATGAAAAATTAGGTCACAAGACCCAAAAATTGTGGAAATCCTAACACTCTAGAGGCTACTGATCTGGTCCAAATATCCTTGAAATTTGTCAAGGTACATTAATAAAAGAGTTATATAGATTTTATTTCACTGATTGTTATTTTGTGAGATGAGTGAATGATGGGTTATATAGACTTTATTTCACTGATTGTTATTTTGTGAGATAATAAGTGAATGTTTGGTTATATAGACTTTATTTCACTGATTGTTATTTTGTGAGATGATAAGTGAATGGTTGGTTATATAGACTTTATTTCACTGATTGTTATTTTGTGAGATAATAAGTAAATGATGGGTTATATAGACTTTATTTCACTGATTTTCACAGATTGTTATTTTGTGAGATAATAAGTGAATGGTTGGTTATATAGACTTTATTTCACAGATTGTTATTTTGAGAGATAATAAGTGAATGGTTGGTTATATAGACTTTCTTTCACAGATTGTTATTTTGAGAGATAATAAGTGAATGATGGGTTATATAGACTTTATTTCACTGATTGTTATTTTGTGAGATAATAAGTGAATGATGGGTTATATAGACTTAATTTCACTGATTGTTATTTTGTGAGATAATAAGTGAATGATGGGTTATATAGAGTTTATTTCACTGATTGTTATTTTGTGAGATAATAAGTGAATGATGGGTTATATAGACTTAATTTCACTGATTGTTATTTTGCGAGATAATACGTGAATGATGGGTTATATAGACTTTATTTCACTGATTTTTATTTTGAGAGATAATAAGTGAATGATGGGTTATATAGACTTTATTTCACTGATTGTTATTTTGTAAGATAATAAGTGAATGATGGGTTATATAGAGTTTATTTCACTGATTGTTATTTTGTAAGATAATAAGTGAATGATGGGTTATATAGACTTTATTTCACTGATTGTTATTTTGAGAGATAATAAGTGAATGATGGGTTATATAGACTTTATTTCACTGATTGTTATTTTGTGAGATAATAAGTGAATGATGGGTTATAGATTTTATTTCACTGATTGTTATTTTGTGAGATAATGAGTGAATGATGTGTTACGGGTATATAGATTTTATTTCACTGTTATTTTGTGAGGTAAATGAATGAATGATGAGTCATATCGATTTTATCTCATTGATTGATTTATTGTGAGATAATGATTGATTGATTGATTGATTGATTGATTGAATGAATGAATGAATAATTGAATGTGTTATCTGACTGACATAAACCAGTAAATTTTGTATTATTGCATTGCAGGTACAGAGCACCAGAATTGTTGTTAGGTTCTAAAACACAAACTACTGGTATAGATATGTGGTAAGAAAATATATTTTATCTGAAGTTCATTTAAGGTAGCTCGCTACTTTCCGACCGAAATATGACAACATCTCAGATCTTGATGATTTTTGGTATGCAAACATATAAATATGTGACCTTTACTTCTGCAGTATTATTTTATAAATAAACAGCGTTACTATGACGTCAAAGTGCCCTCTATCGGTGGGGGCGAAATTGCGTCTTTTTTATCAATAAACCGGTCTGTTCTTATCAATTTTCATCCGATTTCATTCATTTTAATTTTATAATGTTCAGTAAATATATGTCTTTGTAATGATGTCTTTCTTTAACATTTACTTAATAGTCTGCAATTTTACGTCATTTTTCTCTACGTTCTGACGTCCATATTTGATGCAAATATCGCGCGATATCGCAATAAAGATTTTGTAATAAAGGAAATTCAACACGGTGAATTTTGCTATAATTTTCCGAGCGTGAAGTGAGATAGTTAAGGAAAATATGAATGCAATAAAAATATAGGGTCAACGCGTAAGATATTTTGCTATTACTGTTTTAAAATAAAATAAAGGGTGAGTGAAACGTAATGATTTTGGTGACGTTAATAGATGTTGGAGTTCAAAGAATAATACCAAATAACAGTTTTCTTACGTCAAACATTATGATAGTAAGTATAAACAACACAGGGACTTGATGAAATGTATATTTTTTAAATTGTTGATTATTTTCTCATTGAAAGCATGCGCTAGATGAGCACATTTACAATGTTTAATCCGACAATGCCTTTTTAAATACTTTTCTAATTTGCAGGACACAGTCTCATACATCTTTTAATTCTAATTTTATAATGTGATGTTGTTAAAGTGTTATATTATTATATGAATTAACTAGTTTCAGCGCAAAAAATAAGATTCACATATTGCTGTATGAATGAAGTAAGAATATTAGGTCGCTTAGCTTATACCCGTAGAATATTTATTTTACGTTACATTCAGCCTTTAAACACTTTCATAAAATCACATAAAGGCAGACGAGCCTCGGTGTCAAAACACATCGTAAAAATACAATTAAAATAGATATGCATACAAATGTGCCGAAATAAGTGATAAATAAAATTCAGAAATAATATTCAAATATGTTAAAGGGACTCCACTGAGGTTTTTTGACATGATGGAACTGAAAATATTTTTTCCAGATAAATGTACCATTTGATGTAGGTTTAGACCATTAATCTTTGTGCAAAATTTCAGAGCATTCGCGCACTTCGTTTTTCCAGAATAATTATTCAAAATGAAAAGCGTTTAAACGCTTTTCACCCAAATCGGGCTAACAAAAGCATAAAAATACGATTTTCAATTTATTTCAAAGTATATTTCTTAACTATCTTCGCATATATTTCTGTTTAAAGTGCCCAGCTCATTTATGTAAGAAATTCAAATGTTATGTGTTTGGCTTTTCAACCTCAGTGGAGTCCCTTTAAGTATATTTAAAAACAAACAGTACAAGAAACAAAAACCTTTATTTTATTTTTATTTTTGCAATACATAGGCTATATAATTATAATCTAATTAAAATGTCATGATAATTAGAAAATGAGCACTTATGTGACAAATTATAAGCTATTTTGGAAGCAAAATCATACTGATAAAAAATATATAAGCATATTCGCAACTGCAGACTCGAATGTGAAACACCCAATATAACCTACTCAACTCGGATTCATTACCGTTTTTTCATTACTGTACAGTATAACATAGCGGCCCTCAAAGTATTATTTATTTCTAAAGAGTTCCACTACATTTTACCTCTGTAGAGCAACCACTCTAGGCAACAAAGGGCATTTCTCTGTAAAGGTTATACTGTATATTTTAATTAAATACAAAATATAATTATTAAATAACTTGTGCAACTTTTGTTACCACTGAATACGAATAATGTATTATGTTGACGTTATCTTGTTCATTTTTTAATACAATACAGTTTGCTTTAAAACAAAAATAAAAAAAAAACAAGAAAAAAAAACAACCTCAAAACACACACCAAAAACACGTGTTTATGATGTTAGCAATAAAATGGACTTCTCCCTTATTAAGGGAGATCATAATCAGGTTTTTAACTTTGAATATTCTTCTGTTGCCACGTTGTAATCGGTAAAGTGGTCTTACGCTGAATTCGGAAGGCATGGATTCGAGACACGATTGCGTATTGTACTAATAGATTATCCTTTAGAATTGTTTACTGTGTATGAAATGTTTCAAGGGCCACCTCGGACTCCTGTCATTCATTTCCAAAGAGAAGTGATACTGTGAGAAACACTGGTTTCGTTAAATTCCCTCCGCTATAGTTGAAATACTGTTGAAAGCGGCGTTAAACCCAATATTAAAAAAATACAAGATATAAAACATAAAATGCATAGTTCATTATTTTCATAGGCTCTACATAGCACTGCATTATGTGCAGACAAAAAACGAGCTTCTCCCACAACCATAATCACACAAATTGAGAATCCTACATAATCGCCTTCAATACAAGGGAATCTGTATTTAATATGCAAAATTCTCCGCTTCTGAACATACAAAATAAATCAACGGATCTTTCGCCTCTAATCGAGAAATGATCACGGCTTCAGGTCGCCTCAAAGATGCGCTAGTAAACGCATACCGCGAGTCAGCTAGTTTAAAATAAATAAGAATATCTGTAATTATGTGAAATACGTGAGAAATTAAAGCCATAGCATGAGAGCGTGATTCCTGCTTTAAATCTGAGTCTCACGCTTAGTGCAGGGTATTTAGCTGCGAGAGAAAATAGAATAACTGATGGCTGTTAATAAATAAATTTTTATACGTGTAGAAAATTTTGAATTAAATGTCTGCTAGATTTTATAATATAATTAAGACTACCAGTGAATCATGACTTACGTACAAATCGTTGCTACTTCCAGTTGATCATATATTTTTGAAACGTAAATTTGATTCATTTCCTACCAGAGACATAGATGTTATCTATGTCTCTGTTCCTACTAACTGATATATACAATTCAAAATTGTTACATATGATAACATGGAAGTTTATGTTGTACCGAGATACACATAACATGATGACATTGCGACTGCACCAGCCTTTTCATTCTTTTTTTCTGACATTCTTTGCAAAATTTATGTTTTTATGATTTCCACTTAGGTGGCCTATTGATTATATCTTTCAATATTCTGAATTGTCTTTCAGTCTTCGAGGTATTTATATCCATTCGTTGCAGTTTTTCAGAGATTGATACCAACTTTTGCAGACAGTTATACCCTGATTTATGGTACATGTATATAATTGAAGATATTCATCGAAATACAGGCATCTGACAGGACTTTTAAAAAAACATTTTTACGGAACATGTCTAAATACTATTGTTGTTGATGGTTTTCACACATTTTTATTCCTGTCAGTATTATATTTATAGAAAAAGTCGTGAAAATTTCCTTGAGAAAAATATTTGACGTCAACAAAATCACTACGTTTTACTCACCCTTTATTTTATATTCAAATAGTAATAGCAAAATATCTTACGCGTTGACCCTATATTTTTATTGCATAAATATTTTCTTTTATGACTTCACTACATGTTAAAAAAATATAGCACAATTCACCGTGTTGATTTTTTATTATTTCACAATCTTTATTGCGATATCGCGCGATAATTGCATCAAATATGGACGTCAGAACGTGAGGGAAAATAACGTAGAATCGCAGAGTATTAAGCAAATGTTCAAGAAAGACATCGTTAAAAAGACATATATTTACTGAACATTGTAAAATTAAAATGAAGGAAATCGGATGAAAATTGATAAGATCAGACCGGTTTATTGATAAAAAAGACACAATTTCGCCGCCACCGATAGAGGGCGCTTTGACGTCATAGTAACGCTGTTTATTTATAAAATAACACTGCAAAAGTAAAGCGTGCATATCTACATGTCTGTATACCAAAAATCATCAACATCTGAGATATTGTCAAATTTAGGTCGGAAAGTAGCGAGCTACCTTAAGTCAACACCTTGTGTAGTTAATTTTGTGATATACTATCTAGATCAGTCTAAATGTTAATTACAGAGGTTAGTGCTTGTCACATACACAGTTTGTTTAATCAACATCTCCTAAACCTCAGGTTGGCCCATGACCAAACTTCAAATAGTACCTCACCCACTATTTCTTAGTAGATGCAAATAAATTCTACTGATTATAATTATGGAATGACAATACTATTCGTTAGATAAGTTGATTTTGAGTGATACAATGAAAACTAAAAAATTGTAATAACTTATAAGCCAAATTCATCTTTCCTGTTTTGGCGCCATATGACCTTAACTGTGTTGGTGTGCCGTTAACTAAACACCCAATAAAAAGCAATACACTTAAATTAAAAGCGTGGGTTTGTTAAAAGTAAAAAATTTCATGTAAAAATTCAATGGATTTACTAAACTGAAAAAAGAAATAAGAAAACATAATTATTCTAGAATATTTTAGGATTTGACAGCCATCTTTGACACCATCTTGGATATCTCAGCTTAGCATTGTGGTTTAATCAAATGGATATTCTTTCCAGGCTTACATTTGAAACTTGCTGTTGGCTGACATAGACCATTTACCCTATGAAACAGGCTAGTAAAATACTGTTTTCCGAGAAACTTGCGGAAACAATATTTCGTGTTTTCATGAGGATGACATTTTTGCTGAGAAAAACTATCACGCAATTATAGTGACCCGGAATTTTGCGAATATTAAGTCTCTGGGGGTAAAGAGCATATGAGCCTTGCCATGACAAAACCAACATAATGGGTTTGCGACCAGCATGGATCCAGACCAGCCTGCGCATCCGCACAGTCTGATCAGGATTCATGCTGTTCGCTATCAGTTTCTCTACTTGTTATAGGGTTTGTAAGCGAACAGTATGGATCCTGATCAGACTGTGCAGCACAGGCTGATCTGGATCCATGCTAGTCGCAAACCCATTATGTTGGTTTTGTCGTGAC